GAAAATGGTAACTGGGCCCGGAATTCTTGAAAATCCCGGGCCCAACATAGCCTCCATTTCTCAGGTATAGAAACCCAAAAAACACTGTAAAATACAGGGGTTTTCAGGACTTGCCACATGCTTACTCTTTGTGAACCGCGGCAAAACGTCCGGTCAAAGCGGGGTTTAGGGTTTAGGACCATTCTGCTAGCCACCGGTCACCGCCACCGTAACAGCTCCACTTGCCCCGCCAGCAATTTCGAGACCAGCTGGTGCTGATGAGAGCTACTGACGGCTTTATCAACGTTTGTAACTGTTGTCACACGGCTCCCATCAATCTTGGTATCCACATCTCCTGATAAATTATAAACATGATGGTGGTCACAAACGGTAGCGCTTTCAGGTGTCATTACGACTGCTCTTCATGGTCAACAACAAGAGTCCACCCAGGACAGCAATCAACATGTCGCCTCTAATCAGAATCGGAACATGTTTGTTGAGGGGAGCGGATTGCTGCTCTTCTGAGTGGGAGATTACCGATCCCCGAGAAGAACCCCTGCATGCCGCTTGAAGCCCCTATACACCCTCTTGCACGTTTGAGCCCTGAATTCGGCAGCTTCTTTCTACAGTCCCAAACAAAGACCCTAATAATCCCGTCATAATCCCTATATATCAAGCGTGCCGAAAAGCCCTAAACCCTAAATAGTAGCTTCCGTCTTATTTCCTTTATCTCAATACAACCCCTATATAATATATTCTCTATAGTACTTTCCATTTTATTTTCCATTCTCCCAAAATTCCCCTATAAAAACCCTGTATAGTATAGTAGTTTCCACTTTATTTCCATTATCCCATTATGACCCCTATATAACCCCAATATATACCCTATAATCCCTATATGGCCCATTGTAGTAGTTTCCATTTTCTTTTCCATTATCCCATTATCACTTCTTGCAGCACCCAGTCCTCACGCCCAGCTACCTCTTTCAGCAGCCGCTGGCGGAGTTCCCAGGCCTGCACTGGTCCAGCGCGTCGGACTTGGGTGAACAGTATAGGGTGCGGTTTTTGGGGTTTAGGATTTGGAGTTAAGGATTTAGGGTTTTGGGCTTAGAGTTTTGGATTGAGGGTTACGGTTTGTTGTTGACCTTTTCTCCGGCAGATGTATCCCGGAGATGCACTGGTGCACAGCCCCTGAAAGCCCCCATCAGCACCCATAAAGGGAACTCATCAGCCCGCTCCAGGCTAGTGGTCACAGCAGCTTGCGCAAGATATTCCAAGGCGTCCCAGCCAAGGCCCAAAAGGTCGGCACAGGCCCCCGAAAACCATGCTGGGTACACTCTACAGCAGCCTGGCTACACTTTACAGCAGCCAATGCTTCAGATTGCTTTTTGCACCCTCGCTCTCAGAAGGTTTGGGAGGCTTACGATTTGGGACTAAGGGCAAAGCTGAGGTGATACCACCCTCCAGTAATAGTGAGCATGAGGGATAATGACAACCATGTTAGGGTCCCTCAGGACCCTCATCAAAAGCACAAAGTTACAACCATTACATCAGTCAGGAGCTGTTGCAGGGCGAGGGACAAAATCAGAGGCATGGGGCTTAGGTTCAGAAAGGGCCAACCATAGTTTGAAGTAGTCTCCTTATCTCTTATGAACCCAAAAACCCTTTAAGCCACAGATATCCTCTACATGTCTCTAGTTATTCCCAATTGATAGGAGAGCTGCTGAGCACTTTATCAGAAACATGGGTATGGCCCTCTTCAAGGAATCCTTGTATTTCTGATGTTCTCTCAGGGTAACCACCAAAACGACAGCAGAGTCAGCTGCGTTGGGCTCCCAAAGGGGCCCCCGCCTCCCACCTCGTCGCTGAGTAGCAGCGCCTGGACGAGCATTCTTGTACAACTCACATGGTGCGTGCCCAAGTGGTTGTTCAGTAAAACATGGACATACATGGACACCAACACCTGAGACAAAGTTCCTGCAAACAGAGAAACTCTGTCTATCACTTCGGGTATGTCTGCTGCTTCCGTTTGTTTGGTCCATACGTCCTGTGCTTGCGCTGCGGATCCTGGTGCTGCAACTGTGCTTGCATTGCACAGCTTCGCGCATTTCTGAGCGGGAGTGTCAATAGTTACAATTCCAGCTCCTCTGTGCAAATGTGGACATTCAAACATGTATGCGGACAACTGGCACTGACGCTAGCCACTACCAAAACAGCTGGCAAATGCTACTTCTTTCAAAGAGGTCTCGGCAAAGAGTGCCCAAGACCCTAAGTCCTAAACCCACGCTAAACCTTTAAAAAGTAGTTTCCATTTTCTTCTCCGTTGTCCCAATATATCCCATATATCTCCATATCTACATATATATATATATGTGGATATATTGTATATAGATATATACAGATCCTTACATATAGAGACCCTTGAAGAACAAGAATCACACCCTTGGAAAGGCCTCAAAAGCATCTCGAGCCCGGCGGCAGCGCGTGGCCGACAGCTCCACGCCCAAGGCACGGCTCACGCCCGGGCACTCGAGGTAGGCCTGGACCTGAGGATGCAGGGCCTTCGCCTTACTTCTTGGGCTATTAGTAATGGAAAATGAAATGGAAACTACTATAATGGGTTATATAGGGACTACTATAAGGAATATATTGGGGTTGTATTGGGGTTATAATGGAAAAGAAAATGGAAAATGGAAACTACTCTACTATACGGGGTTATATAGGAGTTATATAGGGGTTGTATTGGGATAATGGGAAAGAAAATGGAAACTACTACTTATCTACTACACCTTGTAGGGTTGGGCTCATACGAATGAGGACATGTTGGGTGCATATGCTTGCAGACTTCGCATTTCCTTCGCGCTTCTTTAAAAAAAGAAAAAAAAGGATTCCGCGGTATTGTAACATTACACCGACATAATTGGGAAATCGCTTGGGGATCGTGGAAGACTGATCACATACGGACCTGCAAAACACTCTCTTCATGACTGTTTGTTTCCGTCTTTCGCACCACTGTTTCATGCAGGCTGCATGCGCATAAAGGCATACCATATGCAAGAGCACTGTCTACATACGATGCAATCACCAAAGAGTGTATATAATACATCCATAGAAAAAATTCGTAGCACCCAAATGAGTCGTGATGTCTAGGGCTTCCAGTGAGTGCATGACCTACTGCATATTAGCAGGCTTAGCACAAATTATGCGACCCCAGATTTCATGTACAAGTGCACATCGCAGCATACTTGGCGTTTCGAAAGGCTATTTACACAGACTGCACATCACTTGGAGATCTGCCGTACAGCCATCCAGCATGCAGCAATACTGAAGAATGTCGGGCGTGTAGATAAGCATCTCGCATGAAATGCCATTAGCATGGACCACATAAACCATCGAGAAACGCTGTTAATGAAACTTAGCTCTTCACTAGATACCAAGCTGTAGAAATCATGTACATATGTCCAACACGCGTGAACGTGTTCAGCACGCAAACCGCAAGCCGCATGCCAGGTTCCTAGGTCGAACTCCACGAAATTCCACCGTATCCTCTTGCAGGCCCTCGCACACCCCACGGGAGGACGCAGCTTTACGGGACCCGATCGAACTGCGATAACCATATCCACTACTGCCGCGGCGGCAGTCATTCCTGGTATCATCATTAAAAAGAATTCACGCTTCGGAGGGTGTTGCTTCCTTTACGGATGTACGTGTGGCTACTGATTACTGTCTACTCATCTTCTCTAGTCACAGGAGCAACCATCTTCCCAACGCCGCAGCCTAGATCTGCGAAGACGCCGCCAGGCCCTGGCCAGGCTTATTTTGAAGGATTGGGGTGTGGTTATGGGGCTCGTGTTCTCGACAAGCTGGGGTCTGTTTTGACTCAGTGCCTTGGTCCAAGCCTACCAGGAGTGCTTGCAGGCATCTGACTACAACGCAAAAAATGGCGTGATTTGTCGCTTTTGCGGGCTTGAAGTTCTTTTGCATCGCTTCTGACGACTTTCACCTCGGACTTTCTGCAAGAAAGTCCAAAGGAGATGGGCACCCTGAGCAGCCTGCTATGGTGCTAAAATGATTCCCCCTAGCCTGATACGCTAGATTCAAGAATCCGATTCCAGGTGTGGTCATCACCTTTTGCAAGCCCACCAGTATGGGGGATTGCAAGATTTATGGGAACACCCATATGGCAGTTTCCCAAAACAAGGGGACCCCAATATAGACTCAGCATACTACAATCCTGCTTATTGGGACCCCCGAAAAGGGTACCCCAAATTCTTGGAAACTCTAAACTCTCAACCCTAAATATTCCTTTATAATCCCTGTATGTCTCCCTTTCAACCCTTTTTTAAGGTACCCAGAATTGGAGGAAATCCACATGCTGAAGGCTGAAGTCGGCCTTCGGGATCGTCCAGACCCCAGCGCTGCGCAAGGAGTCTGACCTTGAGCAGCGGTTCTTCAGCGGTTATAGGGGTTATATAGGGGTTATATAGGGGTTATATGGGTGCTATATAGGTGCTATATAGGTGTTATATAGGGGTTATATAGGGGTTGTATAGGGGTTATATTGGTGTTATATTGGGGTTTTATTGGGAATAATGCAAAAGAAAATGGAAACTACTATAATGGGTTATATAGGGCTTTGAGTTTAGGGTTTAGGGTTTGAGGCTTAGAGTTTAGGGTTTAGGATTTACCGTTTAAGGTTTAGGGTTTGAGGTTCATAGCTCAAGGTTCTTTAAATTAAGGAACTATACGTAATGACGTAACACGGACTTCTAGGCACCAGAATCATGAGACACGGTTCAGGTGTTCACCAAGGGTAAAGATTGCCAAGGATTCAAGCCTAAACGCTAAACCTGATCCCTGAATCCAAAAAATCCAAGAAGACAATTTCCGTCTCCATACTGGGACCAATAATTCCAACCAAAACGATCCCTGACCTAAGCTTCACGGACTGTTGATACTGCAAATTCTGCATGACCTTGGTATACGATAGTACTGAAAGTCCCAAGGCACGAGGCACTTCAGGTTATGCAGCCACCCTAAACCCTGAACGCTAAACCCTAAATATCCACGCGCATCCTCTCGGCCTTTCTTGGCCCCTGCCTAGCCCCTGCAGACCTACCCCACGGCCAACCTGGGGGCTCCTACACCACGAGCGTCCATCCATTGTCCCAATATAACCCCCAATACACTATAGTAGTTTCCATTTTCTTTTCCATTATCCCAATATAACCCCTGTATAACCCCTATGTAACCCTATATGGTATGGTAGTTTCCATTTTCTTTTCCATTATCCCATTATTAGCCACTGTTCCCCAAACTGAAGTGTCCAGACCCCCTAAATTCTTCCAGTAGTGAGGCTCGACTAATGACTAATGGCTGGATGCCATGGTTGCACTCTTCTCGTGCTGTCAACAGATGCTACCAGAATGGAAGACCCCTCTTTGCGCTTGGACAAATGGTGGTTCCCAAAATAGGGGGACCCCAATACAGACCCCAATATACTATAGGCCTTATTATGGGAACCCTCAAAATTGCATATACCCTTAAATTGGGAAATCCCCAAATGGACAATACGTTCTGCGACAATGTGTCCAGACTGACAGGTGAATGGAGCAGGGTGCAAGCTGGTAAATCGGGCTCAAGACGTCAGAGCAGACACACGTTGCAGTCACAGACAAACCAGCCATGGAAAAGCTGTGCCAGGTGTCTCATTGCCCAGGTACCCCTGGCGCTGTGACTTCACCATACCTGAAGTAAATTGGAGGCTGTGCTAGCAGGCAGCTGACCAAAAAGGGATTCGACGTCAGAAAATGCTGAAGGCACAAGTAGGCCAAGGAAGCAAGATCATGGCTAGACTACTGAAAGTTGTAATCCTCAGAGTACGGACAAGATAGAAATGAGCTAAATGCTTCGACTGAAATTACACTTGGGGGTCAACCCCCCAGGGCGCTCACCATGATCCCTACCCACCATGGACGCAGGCCTCCAAGTGGGATCAACACTTCAGTCGCTGAAGCCATTCTGGGAGAAATCTTCCCAAAGTTCCAATTTAAAAACATGAAGACGAGATCCTGAACCAGGGCACATGGACGGCGTGGCGCCACGAGCACCCCGGTCCAGCCGGCGCTGCTCTTTAGCCTCAACTTTTACTCCGCCCCATTGTCAGGAAGGGCAAAGTTTCAGATATCTGAGATAAGATCAAGGTTGACTACACTGACGGCGTTACACATTTCATGCGAAGCATCAGCATTCTGAAGATATCACACAGGATGCAGTCTCTACGGCTCGATATTTTTAGTTGAAGATCCCTTCAGAACCATTCCCTCAAAGGATTCCGGATTGGGCTACATTCATGTGATCCAAAAACCGCACTTGACTATGCAATCCTTAACCAACCTGCACAACCACCAAGGCAGGCCAACGTTCAAATGGGGCACTGCTTGTTGCAGCGCGCTGTTTTTGGAACAACGGAGTTTCTGTTCTTAATGTCCCAGACCTCTTGATGCTTCTGTGAGTTAAGGGGTTGTGACATTCAAGTTCATCGCTGGACAGGGACGATACCTAAAATCTTACAAACCACTTCATGTGTCCAACTCCTGTACTATCCCTGATAGACCCTCTATATTGTCCCTATACAAGCCCTAGATAACCCTATACAACAGTTGCGGTGGAGGTGCAGAAGTTAGCTTTGGTCAACTACGAGCAGGGTACCCTCACCTTCGTGGTTCCTACCACAGTCCAGGTAAGTAATCGGGGGTGTCTTGCTGGGCGTGGTGGCCATATTTAGCCACGACAAATCCTTGAAACTAAAAAAGGATGTCAAGAGAGTAGTTTTGCAGGATAATGAGAATCAGTTCATGGTGATGCAAATAGAAGTACTCCAGTAGCAAGAAAGGCTTCAGTCCGAGGCAATGCTTGCCTTGAAGGGAAAAGGATGCTTCACGACAGGCTGACAGCTGGACAACGACTTTGAGTATGTGTGACGAATCTGGGAGACAGCTGAAGCCAGCCATGTTTGCAACGTGCAGTGCGCACGCCTGCTTTTGCAGCTTCAGGGGAGGGCTTCTAGTTGTAGATCCAGCTGCTGAGTACAGGCACAGTAAGCAAGCGCCAGGTCAATGCTGAGTAGTGGGTCATGAACCGGATACTAGCAAGCCTTTGCAAATGCAGGTGCTGCAGCCTCATCACGTCTCAGACTACAACTATTACTATTACGATCATGTTTGTTATTATTCATGCTATGGTCATACTTGATGTGACCCGGGAACCATCCCCAGGCTGTCTCGGCCAAGTATCTGAAATGCTGTAGCCTTCACGCCCGCGCCAGTAGGTGGCCAGCACTCGGTCAACTTCAACACGCAGCGACTGGCCAGGATGTGGGCTTAGGGTTTAAGGTTTAGGGCTCAGAAAGCTGGAAAATCCCAAGTCAAAGTGCCGCGTTGCAATGTGGTTCAGGCTTCTGCA